TTTTCAAAGCCAATCAGTTGTGAATTCATCTCAAAGAACTTGGTATCTCTTGTTGGAGAGCGAAGATCAACTCTGTCAGCATTCCAACCCAGGTGAGAATTCTATCATTTTCCTGTTCTGATGACGTGGTAAATTGATTTGTCGAGTTGATTAAGTTTGGTAATTTATTCATGCAGGGAGAAAATGATAAAAAATGAGATATTTCGGTATGAACGGCGCTAAGACTGCATCTAATATTTTTCATATGTGTACTGTATTCTATTATTTGTTTATTCCACATTCTGTTACTTTTATTCCACGACTCTTTTGCATTGCAATACATATAGGAACACCACACTTTTTATGGAGTCACTATCAAATGTAATTAGCTCACAGAGAATGTTTTCAGCGTTACGAGACCTTTGGGTGTTACAAGCGTAAAGTCTGGGGGTGGTAAATGTCCGTTAAGAAATCCCGCCAGGCTAAAAGTAAACAAACCTCGTTTAGGTTCAAAAGTCTTACTTAAAACTATTTTACTTGTCCTTTCATGTCCCTATTAAAACGATATTTCATTTCTCTGGAGAAGTATGATAGACTGCATTTGGCTTTCTACTAATATTCCCCTAAACAAGTGGAATAGAGAAAAAATTGCTAAAAATCACGGAATTACATATCTTAGCGGAAAATAGAGGAACTCTTCAAATATAATAGTTCAAGTGATACATTATACAAGGGAATAGGTCTTCAAGTGATTTTTATTGAGCTTCCCAATAATAAATAAAACTTCAGGAACTGATTCATATCGTAATTCATGTCATGAAACATAAGTTAGGCTTCCTGACTCATGTCGGGGATCCTAACAGCCCCATACCCCCCCCCCCCGTCCCTACCCAAAAAAAATTTTTAAAAATGTTTTTTCGATTTAGGAGCTGACAGTATTCATCAATTTGCGAAGAAATCGTTTAATAGTTTCAACCGTAAGAATGCCTCATTTCGTTGACATATTCCCACGGTACACAGAGACATCCCTTAACACCAATTCAAACTCGGGTCTTGAGATATTGTCTTAGGTGGGGAACTTGGAGTATTTGATGAGCGCCTTCGGTATTAAATGTGTTCTCCCTTATGGAGAATAGTTGAAACGATATGTTCATGAACCCTTTCGGCAAGGTTTCAATTGCCAAATTTCCATATCTGTCTCTTGCACTTAGGAACAACTGTTCAGGATAGCCAATATCAGTTACGTATCAATTCGTTGGGATACAGCTGGCCGCTTTTGTTCCGGCAAAAGGGACGTATTCATATGCACAAGACTCAGATATCCATACATATCCGCCAACGTCCACCCCAACTCCACTATCAACGGATGGGCTATTTCGCGTCGTGCGAGTTCGTGTGAGGGATTTTTTCCACATGGAGTTGTGTGGCGCTTTGCAGGTTCGCTGTAGGACACACATAACACTGATATATTGTATTAAAAACCGAAATGAATGGAAGTTGAACGTAGAGTTCTCATACATGTCAGTCTTTCTACATGATTTCCTGAACTTGCACTTATGAAAATCCATCACTCATTCAATTGGCATTTCCGCAACCAAGGTGATTGGGAGTCAAACCCTGTGGGAGTTCCACACTTTTTAATACCTCAAATTGGAATATTCATGTTCCATTTACCTAAACGAAGAAACGAAAATCAGATAATCTCCAGTTCAGTAACAATATTGCTGGACAAACTTCAGGTGCTGCCCCTTTCACAATTGTAGGAAATCGGAACCCTATGAGTAATAAATATGCACGAGATGCTTGAGAAATATGGAAGACTTTCTCTCACCTCAGTAGAGAATTGGCCCGCTATGAAGACGGACGTAGTATGGGACTTGCCGAGGACACAGAGGTCCGTTGTCAATCGACTTCCGGAACTCAAAGGGTGCCCTTTAGTACTTACCCAAGCTTTCCATATTACACCGGCGAACTTGTGAACGTAACTTCGATTGCTTCGGAGGCCTCTTTTGAGTGGATCTGAGCGACCAGTTTGACGTTAGACTTTAACATGGCTTCAGCCTTATAAAGAACCATGACGCGTGCCTCAACACAGAGCATGCATGCAGTGCGTAAAGGGACTCCAATTCAATCTCGCACGGGAAAAACATCAGGGGTGACTCGCCAGATTCCTGGCGCCATACTTTGCCACACTCAGGAGTAAGGGAGTTCAGCTGATTAAGGCAGCCCGAAGGCTTGACGTGGGGGCGGATGTGGTTGCAGAGCTATGCAGCCATTTAGAGGTTTTTGGACAGATGTGTTTTATTCCAAGAGCATCTTTCTTGTCTAATATTCATCGCCTCATAGGGGTTAATTTGGCCTTGATCCTGACTTCCTGAATATTGATAATATATGAACATGATTTGGATTTTTTCACATTTTCCGCCTGCTTAATGGTCCCTCAGTAATTAAGTGGTGACTCTTAGGCATGGCAACACTTATACTTCATTCTAAGGTCGAGAATATTATTCTGCGATTTCATGGAGACTTCTCCAAGACGGGGTCTACTACCTAATAAAACTTGACTCTACTTAACACTTATTTTTATTCAGTCTGAACTAATAAACTAATTGCTTTCAGCACATTGAGATCCTCCTATGTGTCAAAACGATGGCCACGCAGCTGATTTTTTAAATTATGGCAAATGTCGTCCTCGCAAGGACTCATGTCAGGAGAGTACACAGGATGAGGTAACACCTCCAAGTGATAGTGGTGCAGGGGCTCCTGAACAATTCCACTGATAAGAGGGCTTCCATTGTCATGCAACAACACGGTTCAGCTTTTCCTGAGTGCTGGCCGAAGATGCCGTGCGAGGCCAACGGAGATTACATGGGAGGACAGTGAATACCTTTTTATTGGCAATCTCATTTCCGACTTTTTCCGGGGGCGGGGGAGGAGGTTGTTGGCAGGAATTCATGAAATGCCCCTCGTATGTGCTAACAGTGAAACGTCACAAAATAAGGATTGAAAGACTTCTTCAAAAGGAGAATTAATTGTTTCCATTGTTTCCATACATTTTAAACATTTCCTTGCAAGCATCGCGAACATTCTCAGTCAGAATACTTCAAAAGTCTGTGCCATATTAAGATGGTACTGTTTACGTACCAGATGCGATTTCGAACAAGTAGATTTCTTCCACGTTTCAATAGCCCGGGCCTACTAACCTGGACGTCTTAGGTGCTGGGCATTTTGGGTCTTAAGCCAAAATTCAACACAATGCAACTGAGTTTCATGACTTACCGAGTCCATCAGTGATAAAA